TATTAAAGAATACACCCTGGGGTAATTCAAAAGGCATATTTTGAACCTTAGCGTGGGATCATTTTTCCGCTAGCTTGTACCAAGTGTAGTGGTAATAAGCATTTTTCTGCCTTTTTGACATACAAAGTGAGTTTGCGCAGCATATTTTGCAAACCTTATGTGTGCTATGACTGTATAATACTTCATATGTTGCTCAGCTATGTCGGCTGAGTACAGCAATACCCCCGTATGTACCTTTGCCAGGTATATGTGGATGTTGAAGGGGCGCATTTGAGACGCAGCCATTCAGTTTTTTTCTAACTTTGAAGTTTTACGCTGTGTCCATGTTCCAGTTTGGAGTAGTTTAGATGGTTGGTTATTGAAACTTCCCCACAAACACATACTATTTATTAAAGAATACACCCTGGGGTAATTCAAAAGGCATATTTTGAACCTTGGCGTGGGATAATTTTTTCTCTAGTTTGCTTCCAGGTGTAGTGGTAATGAGCGTTTTTAAAATGTATTTTTTTACTTTTTATAACTTTTTTACTTTTAAAAACTAGTTTTTAAACTTTTGTTTTGCTTATAAATTTTTTTTAAACTTTCCTAAACTTTCTTAAAACTTTTTTACAGATTTAACATTTTTCTAAGCTTTTTTTTTTACCGTTAACCCCTAACTAGCAGTACGCAGCACTAACAGTAAATTCCCCATTTTCCCATAGCTCCCACCCACCCCAGCTAGCAAAATATATAGTTATAAAATATTTAAATTAATTAATTAAATAAATTGAACCCCTGAGGGTTAAAAAAATAAATAAAAGTTAATCCTCAGGGGTTAAAAAAAAATAGATCACAGTATAATACTGTGATCTCTATTTGATCGCTGTAGGCAGTGATCGACTGGCAGGGAAGGGGTTAATTTTTATTTGGACTAGGTAAAGTGTGTTTTTTTTGTTTTTTTTACTTAAATGTTATTAAAACATTTTTTTAAGCTTAATTTTTAACTTTTTAAAGTTTCTTTTAAAACTTTTTTTAACGTTAACCCCTAGTTAGCCTAACGCCAAATCCCCCAATTCCCCACTAACTTCCACCCACCCCAGCTATCTAAATATATAATTAAAAAAAAAATTAATTAATTTAATTAATTTAACCCCTGAGGGTTAAAAAAAAAAAAAATTAACCCTCAGGGGTTAAAAAAAAAAATCAGATCATAGTAAAATGTAATCCCTGCCAATTGATCACTGTAGTCAGTGATCAATTGGCAGGGAAGGGGTTAATTTTTTATTAAAATGGGTAAGGGGGGGGACTTTAAATAAACTTTATTTTTTTAAACAGCAGGGGGCAGGATCAGCACTGATCCAGCTCCCTGCACTTCACACAGAACCCGGAAGTGCAGGGAGCCGGTAGGTAAGTATACAGAGCACATGTGCTCGCTCTGACTTGTGGTCAGAGCGAGCACATGTGCTGGGCAGCCTGACCGGGTGCTCCCGGTATGCCTCCAGTGCAGAGGCATACCGGGAGCACCATTAACCCCGCGATCGCCGCGATAGTGGCGATCCGGGGTTAATTTTACCGCGTGACGGACGAGGTCCGTCACCCGTCGTTAAGGGTCTCCCCTGTGTGACGGACCTCGTCCGTCACCCGTCCTGAAGGGGTTAAGGGGTTAATGATGTATTCAGAAACTATATTTACTCTTTTGTGCTTGTATACCTGGATGATATCCTTATTTATTCCCCCGACATCCAAACTCATCATGATCATGTCAAACAGGTTTTACAAACTTTGCTTAAAAATGGTCTTTATTGTAAACTTGAGAAATGCGTATTTGATCAACATGAGGTTCAGTTTTTGGGGTATAACATTTCTGCCTCTGGTTTCCAAATGGAGCCTTGCAAACTAGAGGCCGTTCTACAATGGCCATTACCCAGTGGGTTAAAAGCCATACAGAGATTTATTGGTTTCTCTAACTATTACAGGATATTCATCAAAGGTTTCTCTTTGGTAATAGCCCCCTTCACCAATATGACACACAAGGGGGCTGTAACGGAACTCCCTGTACTCCGACCGAGTACCTTCCGTTGATGGACGCTTCCTAGCTTGCGCCAAGGACCACAAGCACTGCACCGGACACCACAACCACCACAGACTCCACAACCGCTTAACTGGAGTCTTGCCATCTTCTGTCCACCCTGGATCATCTTCTGTCCTCCAGGACCGTGTAGGGAAGACCTCTCCTCCAATAGAGCGTATCAGGAACAAGCTCTTAAAAGAGCTAAGTGATTAAAGCTCAGGGGAATATGCAGAGCATAGCAATCCCCAGTGTGAGTATAGCTGCCCCCTCCAATCATGAGACAAGACTACGTATTGAGGGTCAAGATCTGTCTACTTGGCACCAAAGGGCCTTCTTTTATGCAGGTTTTTCTTACATAGGACCACCCCCAGGTTTTCCAGAACAACCAATAAAAACATTACAACACATACAATAAAGTAAACCACTCCCATTCATCCCAGCAGAAATCCTCCCCTCTGCCTGTGATACAATTATATCCACACAATAGATTAACTTTATTATCACAGGCAGAAAATATACAGTTTACACATACACTGTAACTTTAAAATCATGCATCCAATCTTCAGCCACATATTATTGGCATATTATTAATCAGCATACTTGAAATATGAACATACTCAAAACATCATGCAAATCCTTCCATTAGTTCAAAAGTTAGTCGGAAGTCCTTTGTGACCAATTTCACACTGAAAAAAATGACTAAGTCCCATTCGAACGTCTGTGTTAGTCTTTGTGGCTGAAAACTCAGTGCAGGAGAAGGTAAGGTTCAGCAGTGTTTGTTGAAATGTGTAGCCGATTTCAGTTCCATGGATTTGGCTACACATACCACTGACCTCGTTCGAATGAACAAAGATGGCCGCCGCCACGTGTTAGTTTGTCGAATGGCGACTACTTTGGCACTTCGGCTGCATCCGAAGTGCCAATTTAAAGCTGCAGAACTGCTCCAATACAATTTAAATGGGCAGCAAGAGTATTTTAAAATCCAATCTGCTAAAATAGTCTTTAACAGGCAATATCTTTCAGGGGCCATAGTCTTAAAGGGCATTGTTCACCAAAGTCACAATGTGCCCACAGACGGTTCTTAAAGGGTCATACACAGTCCAATAAAAGTCCATAAGCCCAAATTCGGGTTTAAAATGTACAATCTCCCATGGGCCATAGTCGCAGGGGAGGAGGCAGGCAAGCAGGCCTCTCCAGGACAAAGTTCTGAAGGGTACTTCGTCACAGGGGCTAATTGTACTATATGGCCTAAAGAAGCTAAATAGGCTTTTGAGCTTCTTAAACAAATGTTCACACATGCTGACATATTAAGACTAGAGTTGAGCGAACCCGAACTGTAAAGTCCGGGATCGTACCGGACATTTCAGTGACAGTTCAAGTTCGGTGTTTGGGTGATTTAATGGTGTGTTTTTTTTTGGTTTTTTTAAAAGCTGCAGGGCAGCTAATCAACAAGCATTTGACTTGTGTGCCCTTAGAAGCCATCACAGTCATGCCTACTAATGGCTGTGATTGGCCAGTGCAGCATGTGACCCAGCCTCTATATAAGCTAGAGTCATGTAGCGCCGCACGTCAGATGACGAGCTATTAGTGTAGGGAGAAGGATGCTGCAGCTGTGAGGGACAGATTAGGAAAGAATTCTGGTGTTGAATCTGCAAACTACATTGATTATTTTTGTGGGTGCTATACTACATTGTATGTACAACTGCATGTGTGCCAGGCACATTACTTTAATCCTGTTCTGGTAGCTCAGTGGGCAACATCTAGGCATTTTTTAATACAGCTGTGACATTGTAGTTTGACAAATTCACATTTTTTTGTGCTAAATAGTACATATGCTACCTGCGGTGCATTTCTTGCAGTCCAATAAAACCCTTAAATACTACTGTTACATTGTTGGTTTAAAAAAAAAAAAAAAAAAAATCACACTTTTTTGTGCTAAATGGAACATTTGCAGCCTGCAGTGCATTTCTTCCAGTCCAATAAAAACCCTTAAATACTACTGTTACATTGTTGTTTGACAAATTCCCATTTATTTGAGACAGTGAAGTAACTGTATGAATTACGCCTGTCACACTGTTGTATGACCTCTGATACGTGGACCAGTAAGCATGGGCAGGGACGCCATATCTCCCTAACTGCACACTGGGCAAATGTAGTGGCGGCTGGGCCTGGGGCGGATAGCAGTTTGACGCATGTCCTTCCGCCACTGAGGATTGCAGGGCATTGCCTCCTCCTCCTCCTCCTCCTCCTCCGCTTCCTCCTCCTCTACCACCTCCTCATCCGGTCTGCGTAACACCTTCGCCACCAACTTCAGCACAGCCAGGGGGAAATGACAGCAGGCGGTTTTAAAACTCATATGTTTGGGGGGAAAATCCCACACCGTGCAGGAGCTGTGGACGGGCATGGAACAATAGGCCGATGAGTAGTTGTTGCCACTGAGCCTCAAGCCCGGCCTGGTGGTGTGCGATAATGGGCAAAATCTCGTAGCAGCTCTGGGCCTAGCCGGTTTGATGCACATCCCTTGCCTGGCACATGTGCTGAATTTGGTGGTGCAGAAATTCCTGAAAAACTACCCAGATATATCAGAGCTGCTGCAGCAAGTGGGGGCCGTCTGTGCGCCCTTTCGGCGTTCTCGCCCTGCTGCTTGCTCGCCTGTCTGCGCTGCAGCGTGGCTTCGGCCTTCCTGCTCACCGCCTCATATGTGACATGCCCACAAGGTGGAACTCCACCTTGCACATGCTGGAGAGACTGTGCGAGCAGCAGCAGGCAATAGTGGAGTTTCAGCTGCAGCACGCAACGTCCAGTCACTCTGCACCAGACTTGCCCTCCAATAGAGTCTTGTTAAAGGATTTAAAGTGTACTCATTCTAATTACAGGACCTCGAAAGAGTCCTGTATTGTTATTTTTCGTCACTACCGCCCCGCGTCGGGAGTGGGTAATTTGTACGCCTGCTGCCTTCCTTGGATGTGGCAGCCGTTTCTCAGGATCCCTCTCCGGAATCGAACCCTGATTCCCTGTTACCCGTGGTCACCATAGTAGGCACAGAAAGTACCATCGAAAGTTGATAGGGCAGACATCTGAATGCGTTGTCGTCGTCACGGGGACGTGCGATCGGCCTGAGGTTATCTAGATTCACCAAAGTGCCTGCGCAACGACTGCCAAGTTGCCCACATTCTAACTTGTGCTGATTACTGGGTGGCCACCCTGCTGGATCACCATTACAAGGACAATGTGCCGTCCTTAATTCCCTCACTGGAGCGTGATCAGAAGATGTGCGACTACAACCACACGCTGGTAGACGCGCTGCTGAGGGCATTCCCAACTGACACTGGGGGCTCAGTGGAAGCACAAGGCGAAGGCAGAGGAGGAGGAAGTAGTCACCCACACAGCTGGGGCACCGCCAGCACCTCAGAAGGCAGGGTTAGCATGGCCGAAATGTGGAAAAGCTTTGTCAGCACGCCACAATAACCAGCACCACCAGCTGATATGTAACATCTTAGCAGGAGACAGCATTTCAGCAACATGGTGGAACAGTATGTGTGCACACGGCTACACATACTGACTGATGCGTCTGCCCCATTCAACTTCTGGGTCTCCAAATTGGGTTGGTCGGGCTGTTCTTTCTCAGAGAGAGAGTCAGGATGCCCCTTTGCATCCTTGTGGTTACTTCTGCAGAAAGTTGTCTCCTGCTGAGCGTAACTATAACATTGGTAATAGAGAACTGTTAGCCATCATACTAGCACTTAAGGAATGGCGACATCTTTTGGAGGGTTCCAAGAATCCCTTTCTGATTATAACTGATCACAAGAACCTGGCATATATTGGGGATGCCAAAAGACTGTCTTCTAGACAAACTAGAAGGTCATTATTTTTGTCGCTTTAACTTCATTATCACCTACAGACCCAGTTCTAAGAATGTTAAAGCTGACACCTTGTCTAGGCAATTTGACGTTGAATCAGATCTAGAACAAGAGACATCCCCTATTATTATTCCTGAGTGTATTATTGCATCCTATGTCCTTTCTTTATCGTTCCCTTTGCTCCATGCTATCATGGCGGCTCAGCCCCAAGATAAATTGTTTATTCCATTGCCTGACAGGAAAGAGGTGCTGAAGGTATTCCATGACAATGTGACCGCTAGGCATCCGGGTATTAATAAAACCGTATCAGCCATTTCCAGGTCATTTTGGTGGGAGAGATATTAAAGATTATGTTGAAGCCTGATCGGTCTGTGCAGTTTCGAAGGCTCCTCATAAACTTCCGTGTGGATTGTTACAGCCACTTCCTATACTCTGTATCTCATGGTCTCATTTATCAATGGATTTCATTGTTGAACTGCCTAGTTCCAATGGGTATACTACTGTCATGGAGTAACACTTCCGGGTTCGGCACTCAGCTGTGAGGAGCCGGACCCCGCCCCCCTCTGACACAGCTCTGACGGTATTTAGGGAGACTGGGCCAGAGAGAGGGTGCTTGGTGATTGTGAGTGAGCTAATGTGTGAGCTGCCTCCGCGAGACCACAGGCTCAGCTACTGGGAGCTACTTCCACCAGACTTACCTCTCCACAAGCTCAGACAAGCCGTTCTAGCCTTTGAGCCAATGCAAGGATTGCTTCATGCCATAGATGATTACTGGAGAACAGAAACTCACTTACTTTACAAGTGGACCATATCTCTGAACTATTGGAGGACTACACACATTAACCTTAAAGGACTATAGTGCCAGGAAAACATACTCGTTTTCCTGAGGGTGCCCCCACCCTCAGGGTTCCCCTCCCGCCCGGCTCTGGAAGGGGGAAAGGGGTAAAAACTTACCTCTCCTCCTCCGATCCTCCTTCTCTCCTCCCCGTCGGCTGAATGCGCACACGTGGCAAGAGCTGCGCGCGCATTCAGCCGGTCACATAGGAAAGCATTCATAATGCTTTCCTATGGACGCTGGCGTGCTCTCACTGTGAAAATCACAGTGAGAAGCATGCAAGCGCCTCTAGTGGCTGTCAATGAGACAGCCACTAGAGGAAATAGGGGAAGGCTTAACCCATTCACAAACATAGCAGTTTCTCTGAAACTGCTATGTTTATGAAAAAATGGGTTAACCCTAGCTGGACCTGGCACCCAGACCACTTCATTAAGCTGAAGTGGTCTGGGTGCCTAGAGTGGTCCTTTAAGTATATCTTTCAGCTATTTGTCTACAATATAATTTAATAATGAACTAATGCTTGCTTACTCAAATCTTCACTGCTTCAAGCTACTAATTATATGGAGGACAACTCCCATCATGTTTATTCACTATGAACTGTTTCTTGCTTTGCAAAGACACTCAATGCTTAAAGCTACTAATTATATGGAGGACAACTCCCATCATGCTTATTCACTATGAACTGTTCTTGCTTTGCAAATATTCTCCGCTACTTGCTTATTGTTTCTATTGAAGATTATTCTCATGAACTTAAAGAATGTTACTTAATGCATCTCTTAGGAAATACTTAATAATGAACTTTGTGTTATTGATTACTTGCACTTCTTCTTATTGGATTATTGCCTAAATGCAATTCATTTAAACACTTATTAAAACTTCGGTTGAATCAAGTTACCAGTGATTCTCTCTTTTCTTAAAGCTACAGTATTGATACTTTAAAGATTCTCCGTTTCTTCACTATTGTAATTAGGGAGTTTTACAAGCTGCAGTTGAGTTCCAATCCAAATCACCCAAGTAGCATAACAACTACCATCCTCATCCACACTTCACTCCACTTAAAAAACTGCCATCGTCTCAGGACCTGGTGCACATATTTATATGTGATATTGTCAGGCTACATGGTATTCCTCAAAATATTGTGTCTGACAGGGGTTCCCAATTTGTGTCATGGTTCTGGAGGGCATTCAATAAACAGTTGGGGATTGAATTGTCATTTTCCTCTGCTTACCATCTCCAAACTAATGGTACGGCTGAAAGAGCTAACCAATCGCTTCAGCTGTATTTACGTTGCTTCGTGAATAGTACACAGTCTACTTGGGCTAAATTATGGTGCCCTGGGCTGAATTTGCAAGGAATAATGCTACCCATGACTCACCTTGTTTGCAAACGGTACACAATTCCAATTGTTCCCCCTCCTCCTTTGGTTGTTTCTGGACAGGAGGAGTATGAAGTCTCCTCCATCATTGATTCCAGGTTTTCTTGTGATTCCTTACAGTTTTTGGTTGATTGGAGGGGGTATGGACCTGCTGACCGTTCTTGGATTTCGGCTTCTGATATCCATGCTAGCCGTAAAATTCATTCTTTTCACGCCAGGTTTCCTCTCAAGCCTGGTCCTGGTTCTTCAAGTGGGGGGTAATGTCACGTATTCATCCGCACATAAAAATGTGGTTAATGGTATTTACTGTCCTGACAGGAAAAGTTGTGCCAAAGCCTTTTTTTTTTCACTAAAAGGTAGCTTTAGAAAAATTGAGGGGACAGAGGTGTGGGAATATTGCAACAAAAAAGGAGGGAAGTCATAATGAAATCAATACACACCCAAACGGTTTACAAATACAAGGAGAACTTAAAGGGACACTATAGTCACCTGAACAACTACAGCTTAATGTAGTTGTTCAGGTGAGATCTATAGCTCCCTGCAGGCAATCTAATGTAAACACGGTATTTTCGTAGAAAATACAGTGTTTACATTGATCGGAATACCTCCAGTGGCCGTCAGTCAGACGGCCACCAGAGGGACTTCCTATCATGTATGGCCCTAAAAAGGCCATGTACACGTCAGACGTATTAAAATATGTCTGACATGTGCAGGAGAGAGAAGGCACTGTGTGCGCACCTTCTCTCTCCTGCCTGTCAGCAGAGGAGAGGGGGCGGGCAAAGACTGTGAGTTGTCAGTCCGCTCAGCTCTCGGCCCCACGCATGCGCGGTAGTGCACTCAGGACTTCATAGGGAGGCATGAATACCGTCCTATGAAGTATGTGCGCATGCACAAGGGAGCGTCTGATTGCTCGTGCCCGCCTATTTTATAATTTTGACAAAATAGGGGGCGCAGCTTCATGAGGCTCCCGGTGCTGGAACAAGGTGAGTAAAAAGGGCTGCCTGGAGTGTCCCTTTAAGAAGGAAAGTTAAGCAGTAATATAAAGGTTCACAAGCACAGTCACAAATATAGAGTAAAAAGAAAAGATAAAAAAAGAGCAAACTAACACACAGGATAGTATTTATTAGAATCCACTATAATAAAGTAAAACACAATCACACAGGAAGTTTCAAAACAAAGTGTAATAAAGACCTTTTCATTTAGGCTGCACGAAAGATAGAAGCATACACAAGAGCTTCTAACACAGGATGATATGAAAGCAAAACACTTTAGTATTGATAAATACACATGGTAGTAAAGTAAAGGGGAAGAGTAGGGTAAATTAATATTTATAATTAATTAGGATGCACAAAGGTGCAAATATGTGTTGCATGTAAATATATATATATATATATATATATATATATTTATTTTTTTTTATATTTTTTTCTCCTCTTCTCTTTCTCTCCTCTTCTGCTCTTTTCTCTCTCTCTTCTGTTTTACCAGTGGAGGGGGAGTGAAAAGAGCGGACAAGGAAATAAAATATTTGAGTTCACCTTTTGTGGTTATATCGCCCCCCCCATGTGTCAAGAGTTTACACAAATACTGAGATATGGTCCCTACGGCTGCCATACCACAAAAGCAGGACCGGTTCCTGGAGGGGGAGGAGAGAGGTAACCTTTCAGGAGCGAGGTCATGTCGGGCCAGACTGGGTGATATACCCACAAGGCCACTTATTGTTAATGAGTTTTGTTATATTTGTGTTTTGTATATAACATTGCAATCACCTCGGGGGCAGTGGCAGAATTATTCTATTAGGAGCAATGGTGAAAATGATGTCAGTTAATGATCAGGGATAAAACACTCCCAACAAGAAATCCATAATTTAACTATATGTTGACAAAGTAGAGGTGGGCTTCCTGCAAGAAACCCGCTGGACAGAAACAAATAACCATGGTTGGGGGCAGATTTAAATTTCCCATTTTGATTCATGCTTCATTAAGGAACAAAAAAAAAAAACGAGGGTTGGCAATTGTTTTTTCTCAAGCACTAAAATTTGAAATTATGCATCAAATTAAAGATCCGGAGGGCAGATATGTTTTGGTTTGTTGTAAAATAAATGAGATGCCTTACACTCTGCTAAACATATATCTCCCAACGAATCCCCAGTTCCAACTTTGAAAAAAATCTTAGATTTGGCTGACTCCAATAAAAATTTACTACAATG